CAACTTTCCCGAAGGAGCTTTGTATGTCTTGTTTGTCGATGCTGACACGTATCTGAAGAGTGCTCAATGCAGGTAAGATTTTGCAGAGCAAAACTATTATTGGTGTAGACTAAGACATGATATCTGAAGATAATTTAATAAAACCTAAACCTATTTACGATAAAAGTTACTCGAGTTTCACGCACAAAGGCGATCATCAGACTAAAGTGCTTTTACGCTTATAACTACAATCCACCGTAAAAGCACTTTAGTCTGATGATCGCCTTTGTGCGTGAAACTCGAGTAACTTTTATCGTAAATAGGTTTAGGTTTTATTAAATTATCTTCAGATATCATGTCTTAGTCTACACCAATAATAGTTTTGCTCTGCAAAATCTTACCTGCATTGAGCACTCTTCAGATACGTGTCAGCATCGACAAACAAGATATATATATATATATATATATATATATATATATATATATATATATATATATATATATATATATATATATATATATATATATATATATATATATATCAGGTGGTGAATAATTTCGAAATTGTAGGTTGCTTTTAAGCTATCGAATGAATGTGCGGAATGCGTGTAGGCGAAACAATACATAGGTGAAACAATGCATGTTTAGGTCATTAGGTTTTGTTAACGACCTTGTTTACTCCAAACCGGTTTTTGTGACGACATTTGCCGAAAATTTCGCTTCTTTTATTGAGTAAATTGTCTTTGTTTATGTCTTTCAAAATGCAAAATTTTTCTTCCAAACATAAATTGCAGCGTTTTGATCCCCCTGTGTACGAAATAGCGTGTTTTAAAATTGACCATTTGATGGTATAATCCTGATTGTTTCCTTTTAATTTCCAAATATGTTTCGAAAGTTCCGTTTTGTTTGAGTCTTTTTTATGACGAAAAGATGAAGTGTGGTTAGCGTAACGTTCCTTAAATGTAGTCGCTGTATATATATATATATATATATATATATATATATATATATATATATATATATATATATATATATATATATATATATATATATATATATATATATATATATATATATATATATATATATATATATATATATATATATATATATATATATATATATATATATATATATATAAAACACGAGTAGGAGTTTTATTCTTTACATAAGAATACTAATTAGGATGAATAATTATAAACCATATATGTTTTATAATGAGTATATTTTAAGTATAATATATATATAAATCATCAAATTATATATAAATCTGAGCTATACAACCATAATCATAATTTCCAGTCATCAACCGGACCAAACCCAAGTGACCGTGTATAGCTCAGTTCGTAGAGCATCGATCGAACTAGCATTTCGAACGTCGAGGGTTCGAAATCCCTTCGCGGCAAGCAGAATTTTCCTCTTGCTTGTTTGAAAATCATTCACTCGAGCACTTTTAAACTTATGATATTACTGAGTGAGCAATATCACAACATCACTCAACACTCGCAGAACAAGTATTGATCGATGCTGAATTGAGTATCACGTTTATGATATTCTGTGTAAATCAGTCATATTTTCCAGTCCTCAATCCGACCTGACTATGTAGCTCAGTTGGTAGAGCGGCGAACTACCATGTCGAGGTATATATATTCCCAAACGGTTCAGCAATAAATACATGAGGATAAATCAAAGCATAATACAGTAGAACGCAAAGTAACAACAGTGCGTGAAATTATTAATACACGGATGCGCTTGAATAAGTTTTCCTTGTATTTTTCAGATAGTTGAATCCCTTTCAATCCGCAGTTTCTTGGTGTTTTTGTCACTACCACAGACAGTAGAATAAATATATAGTCTGGATCGAGTTAAGGATCTTGTATGTAATAGTAATGTGGTGTTCACATTTAAGATGTTGGTATGATAAAACTCCAAGCAGCCTATATGGCTGATTTTACTAACTCATGGATAATTTTCCCGTTCAGTTTCACAATTAACGGAACGACACTGATCGGGAACTTATGTTCAGAGTATACAATCATGGTTTTCATTTTCTTAATATTATTAGCATCAGCATGCCCTGATTTGTGGAATGTGCGCCTCTTTCCAACGAATTACTTATAAAACATTTACAATATAATTTCCGTGCGAAATAAGCCCGAAAAGCGTCTACAATTCTACTTCGTCTATTGCGGAAGAATGTATCGCTGTGGATACGTTACTACCGTGAACTGTTTAAATCAAAGAAAATACAGAGTATGTTTTAAGAAATGTCTACGGATTCTTCCATGATTGCATGTAGTATTGAACCTACCTCGAAAGTAGCCGTGCTTTTCTTGGTCCAAAGCGGTCTAGAAAAGGTCCAGAAACGATACCAGTTACACTATACGCAAGAAGACCGGTTAGAAATACCAAGTCTAATCGTTCATCAATACAGGTTTTGAGGCGACGTTCTGTAATCAAAGTCGAATTTCCGTTGCTTGTAGGTTTGCACAAGTCATGAAATATGTTATCTTGTTTTAAGACGACTGCTAGAGCTGCCCAGCCATAAATTATAGCTGAAAAAAGCAAGACTTGCAGCTCACTCCAAAGGAGAATTAAATAACGATGCTTCCAAACCCATTCCAAGGCAGCCATTGTTAAATAACAAATAAATACAGTACCTAAATTAATACAGTACCTACAATCTGGTGCAACAATTATTAAGACAATTCAATATTGTATAGGGGGGAGGAGGGGGGAGGAGGACAAGTAATCACGGAAATAGAACGAAATCGATATTTTGCAATTGAGAATTGATTTCAAAAGTGCGCATGCTCAGACCATTATTTGCGCCAGTTATTTGCAGCCAACGTATTATTCTCGCCAGTTATTTGTAGGAAAATTAGCCAATCAACGATGAGAAAATAAATTAGTAAATGATAATACAGTTTCACTTTCCGCCGGTCCCCATGCATATCAATACAAGTAATTCATATATTATGCACTGTTTAATAAACAAGCAGGAGTGTTTTATTAGGTTTAAACTGCGCGCTCGTGGCTTTAGACCTAATAAAACACAACCTGCGAGTTTATTAAACAACTTCAAACACAACTATATACAAATTCAATAATATAGCTATACTGACTTATTAGTATTCTTTATATAAAGAATACTAATGAGGACACGACTACAATAGATACTGCCTTGTTAGTATTCTTTATATAAAGAATACTAATTAGGAGTGTTTTATCAGGTTTAAAGTCACTGCACGTGACATATTATGGTTGACATGAGTTGTCAATAAGCCTATGAATTATTAATGAGTGTTTGAATGGTTAATGAATGATGGCCGGAGATCAAAGTTTCTTAGTCCAGCTATTACGAGTCGAGAAATAACAGAATCATTCGTTTAATTATAAAAGTGGTGGTTGGACCAACCTCGTACCAGGGGCTAGCCGTGAATTGAAGGCAGCGACATAACCCTGCAAAACGCTGGTCACGTGATTCCAACATTACGTATAGTTACTTTTCTGATCTGGGGGGTGAAATAGTTATATGCTTGAGGAGAAACTCGAAGACCAACAGACTTTATCTTCGAAATTCTTCAATCTTCCCTGTGAATTTTGCATTTCAGGCTTTTTTAAAAGTACGGCGATCAATCAAATGGATCAATACTTTCTGTAGAAAGAACTCAGTGAGATTTGTTCCTATGCGACGTTAAAAAGACTTAGATATATCGCTCAAGCTAGACGCTGATTGCACTGTAAATTTTATATGGTTTAGTACTTTGTTGCAACTTGCAAAGCAAATGGAATTCAAATTCAACTCTTGTATAATGATTAAAAGTTGCTTAGTAGAGGGACAACTTATACAAAAGATATGAATACTTCAGCGTCAAACTAGGAACAAGTGCATGGACATCCCTAATAATATGGACATTGATATTTCACCAATATGTAAATACTAGAAATACATGCATGCAGCAATCCCTCGCCTTCTTTAACAGATGAAATATAGAAATTCCACATGAAGTAATCCATTCCAAGTTTAAAATAATAGTAGTCACTACGGTAACGTGAAAATAATACGAGATAATTTTTAACTAAAGAATCAGTGATTTTCATATTTTGGCATGTGTCGATATAGTTTTATGTTATGTGGCTTAATTCAATAGGCTTAAAATTTAATTGTAAAATGTAACGGTAAAACGTTTTGAAACTTTGTCGTGAAACTGCAGGGGAACCTGAAAAACTCAGTCGTTTTGCCGACAGTAGTTTGCTCAAAAATGCGGCAAAATATATTTGCTTGATAGGCAGAAGCTAGTTTTTGAGTTATAGGTTTAAGTATAGGTTATAGTTTACGTAAACGACCATAAATAAACACACATAAAAACACGACACGCTATATTAATTGTCCCAAATAAACAACATTAGTATAATTACATAGGTGATTATTGAAAATTCTCCACGCTGATTGGTTGCCGTTGAGGTGATTATTACGTGATAATCACCTAAGCGATTTTCAAAATGACGGCCGAAGCTGTTTTGTCAATTAAATGACGAAGAAATGTGCATTTTAATTTTTTTTCCAAATAATCACCTATGAAATTATACTAAAACAATTATTCACCTCAGGCTTGGTGATTATCGTGAATAAAAACCTCGACTTCGTCTCGGATTTTATTCACCGATAATCACCTCGCCTTCGGCGAATAATTGTTAATTAATCACAACATTTTAATCACAAAGCATGCAAGTACGGTATGGAATTTTAATACTGAAATGTTTATAACACCTACCCAAATCCTGTGCCCAAGTCCCAAACATAGCCAAGACAACGATTTTAAACCATTATAAAATCAATATTTAAAACAAATTTACTTTCGTTAACGTCGGCTCCCTACTTTTAGCAATTTCTTTCGCTCTTTCTTTATGAGAAAACTTTCGAAATTTACAAAATCTTGCAAAAATACGAGCAAAAAATTCATCAATCATCAAATCAAGAAATGTTTGCTATTTCGCTGTCGTATCCAGTCGTTATAATGCAAATTTTAAATTGGACCAATCAGTGTCCGCTATTTATAATTATATTTATCCAGGATACCCACATCACTAATATGTTTTTCAGTGGGGTCCTGCATGATACAATCATTAACAAAATTTACTTATATAAATACATACAATTAATATACAACGTCACGACATAAAGAAACGAATAATTAACTATATCTAGTAAGTACAGCTAAGAATAGTTATATGGTATGGTATGTGACCTTAGTAAAGACTTAAATTGACTCAAAGAATCAATGTTTCTGACGGAAACGTCCAAGTTGTTAAAGTCTTTCGAAGCGAGGTAGGTTGGTTTATGTATGCCCCAGTTGGTGTTGACTTTTGGGAGATGGAGGTTGTTACACGATCTTGTACTGTGGGAATGGATTCTGCTGTTAGTTGTGAGATTGAAGTCGAAATCTATCAGTCCGTTAGTGCATTTGTAGATAAAGATACAACGATGTTTATATCTGCGAGATGAGAGAGTTGACCAGTGTAATGTAGCGAGAGCTTCGGTTGCCGACGAAAGAGGAGGGAGATCTAGTATTAATTTAGCTGCTTTATTTTCCAAGCTTTGCAAGGAGTTCATGAGTGCTGAATTGTTTTTATCGCCCCAAATTCATCGGCATATTCAAATAGCGGTAGTATTGTCGAAGTATAGAAAATCTGTCTTGCATCCAGCGGTAAGAAAGATTTCACACGGCGCAGCAATCCCAATCTTTGGTTGATTTTCCCCATTAATTTCTCAATATGTTCATGCCAGGTAAGGTTCTCGGTAATTGTGATGCCCAGATATTTCAACGATTGATCTTGTTTTATCGTCCGATTGCAAATAGAGATGTTGATGTTGGAGATGGATCTTAGGCGTTGTCTACCGGCGAAAATGATGAACTTTGTCTTGTCATGATTG